TATATATATTATATAAAAATATATATTTTCATGCTTGTGTACTGTCTTAATGCCATTGAATAGACTGTTAAGTTCTACAAGTTAATTGTTGGTTAATCTGTTGCGGTGTAACTGTTGATTGATTGTTTATAGTACAATTTTTTTTTTGCTCTGAAAAAAAATGTATTTTTTATATAAAAGAACCATCTATTTTGAATGACAAAAAATAATAAATCAAAAAAAATCAAAATTGATGGTAAAATCTTAACATTGGTGATTATTATTAATGTTGGCTGTTTTATTGATAAGATAGAATGTACTGTACGCTTGTAAACAATCCATATATAAGTCGAGGTACACTTATATATAGAATCTACCAGCGAATGCTTCTATTATTCATGTACAATGCAACAAAAAGTGCCTTTTTTTAAAGTCTTTCTCTTTATGCCAATCTGCTTGTTATTATTATTATTATTACTATTATTTTTTTTTTCAAAAGCAAATTCTATGCTTTCAGGTACCTGAGCTTAGTACTTTTTTATAAAAAAAAATCTGTGCCTTGTATGATATTAATAATTCTCTCGTCGATGCGATGGTGGAAGATGATTATTTTTGTCTAAATATATGAATAAATAAAATATATACTTTTTTTGAAACGAAAATGGAATGAATTTGTGTTATTTCTTAACTTATTTTCGTGCATAAATACATAAAATATATATTCTTAAAGATAACTAACAAAATTAGAAATTGGTGTAACCAATAATTAAAATATTACAAATTAATTTTTAAAAGAAAATATTATATGAATGAAATACATAATGCTTTAAAATACATAATAATTAATATAAAAGCACATAATGCTGCACAAATTATTTACAGTAAAATATATTTTAAGCATCATCATCATCATCTTCATCCTCCTCATCATAATAGAGAATAAAAAGGGATAAGAGTTTGCATTTGATTTCTTACAATAAATGTTATATTTTTACTCCAAATAAAATCATATTTTAAAATAATTAAAGCTAAATTATAAAATATTTTTGAGTAATTTATTTAATACAAACAGGTTTCATAATATATTAACATACAAATGTTCTTACAAGTTAGTTACAATCTGAAAGGTTTGATTACTTGATTAAGAATATAAACAAGCATCTTATCCAAATTTTAAATTTATAGAATTATATAAATGTATATAATAAATAAATAATTTTAAAACTAAAGTAATTACATTAATTATAAATTATTTTAATCATGATATAACATAGGAAATAATTGAAAAATCTCACTAAAGTTCTAATTACTGACATCATTTTTTAAGTTTCCTTATCAAATTCTGTCGATTCTTATCGATAGAATGAAGCTTTAATTAAATAATTAATTCAATTATTTTAAAATTCGAATATTGATGATAATTTATATAATTAATTAATATTAAAATATTTTTAACATTGTTTTTTCCCATCAAATTAAAATTTATTAATTATTTTTGTGTTAAAATTTTAAAGAAACAATGTCTCGTTAATGAAAATAACACGTTAAACATATATTGTACGTTATATAATATTTTAATTAATTTCATTTACATAACTAATTTGAAAACATTTTATACAGGAAATACATATTAGAAACAGGTCTGATGGAGGGGTGCCAGTAGAGCAATTTGGCACCTACCCAAGCACAAATATGATCCTAAAATTTAGNTGGCGAGCGTTGCATATTAATTATGTTGATAATTTTTCCAACAACTTATAATGTTAACACACAGCCCAAACAAATAAAATTTTAACGTAAAATTATTAAACAGGATACATTCTTTACCTGTATTTGAAGTGAATAAAAAAAACGCGCCAGCAGCTTCGGCAGACAGAAGCGCCCCCCAATAACATTGATTAATTACATTTGTAATCATCAATATTAAACTTTTCTAAAAGATGTTATAGGAACTGTAAACTTTTAATGTTTATGTCATTTTAAATTACCAAATTCATTAATTCATTGGCAATTACTAACTTGTTAAATAAATTAATAAATGTAATGATTCAGCTCAGATGGCAAAATATTAAACATTCTACATAAATATGCAAACATATTTTAACTAATTATAAATTATTTTAATATTGATATAACATAGGAAATAATTGAAAAATCTCACTAAAGTTCTAATTACTGACATCATTTTTTAAGTTTAATTATAAATTATTTTAATCATGATATAACATAGGAAATAATTGAAAAATCTCACTAAAGTTCTAATTACTGACATCATTTTTTAAGTTTCCTTATCAAATTCTGTCGATTCTTATCGATAGAATGAAGCTTTAATTAAATAATTAATTCAATTATTTTAAAATTCGAATATTGATGATAATTTATATAATTAATTAATATTAAAATATTTTTAACATTGTTTTTTCCCATCAAATTAAANCCATTCCTTCCCTAATTGAATATTTTAATTAATTTCATTTACATAACTAATTTGAAAACATTTTATACAGGAAATACATATTAGAAACAGGTCTGATGGAGGGGTGCCAGTAGAGCAATTTGGCACCTACCCAAGCACAAATATGATCCTAAAATTTAGTCTTACATGAAAAATAAACATTAATTTATTTCTCTTTCCTATCGTTTATTTCCATGAGTGGTTAAAAATATACTTTTAATTGACTTTTTTCTATACATTTATACAGTATAACTTTAAGAAAGGTCTATAGCTCCATGCTTATCAATGATTAGGGCCCTAATTTACCTCATTCAGGCTTTATAGGACCTAGGCAAATTCGAATAAAGAGGCCCCATATACTGTACTGTACAGTATTGACTTCAAACATTTTTCTTCGATTTTCTCTCTGTATTTTCTGGCTTATTTTTTCCAATTTTCTTGAGAAAAAATCATGTGATTCCTCGAATATTTACGCCATTCTAACAAGCGCTAGTCGGGTAAGTGTTCGGTGTATACTGTGATGTCTCAAATG